CCATGTACATGCTCATTTTTTGTAACCGTTAATTATAATGCGGTGCATTATATTTGAAAGTGACCACCTACGTGGACTAGTAGTCAGAGTCTCTGCCTACTGATCCAGAGGTCCCGGGTTCGATTTCCGGCGCTACCAGATTTCCTAAGAAGTAGTGGGTCTGGAACGGGGTCCAACTCAGCCTCGTGAGGGTAACTGATGAGCTATTTCAAAGAAATAGCGGCTCCGGTCTAGAAAACCGAAATTATCGGCCGTGGGGATTCTTTGCGCTGACCACGCGACACCTTCTATCTGCTAAAGTTGGAACTAACTTCGCCGACAAGCGGCGGTCGCTCGGTCGGTATAGTTCGCTCGCGGACTAAGACCACGGAATTTGTTTTTATTTGATTAAGACTAATAAATTGGAAGCTGTATTTTGTAAGACTGGGTTAATGAGATAGTCCGTTCTTGCTTTTAGAACTTGACATAGGCTCATTCTTGCTGAGTGAACAGTGTGCAGCCACGTGCAACTTTTCCTAGGACTATCTTGTTTTAGACATGGCGGCAGAGCTTTGGAAATAAGACAGCTGACAGATGGGGCAAGCAGTAAACAATAAGTAGGTCGGCCCGCTAAACACGCTATTCTCAAGAAGCTGTGAAAAATTCCGCCGTTTGTGTTTTAAGGGCTAGAATCGACTAGCAACTTCATCTAATTCGGAAATTCAAAATTATGAGACTTCCTAGACGTTTAACTAGGTCAATAAAGATGTCTTAGGGAGGCAACATTTAGGCTGGGGCCACACGAGCGCATGAAGTACGTCCGTTGCAACGAACGTACTTTATGATGGACGTTGCTGAGGACACCACACAGTTGCAGAACGCGGTGCGTAGTTTTCTGTCTGCAATGGAGCCAGAAGAAAGCGTAGCATTCGCATTTCTTGTTTATTTGTACAACTGATGTCACGACGTTCGTTACAACGGACGCATTTTGTGCACTCGTGTGGCCCCAGCCTTAGTGGAAGCAGAGGCTCTGAGAAGCTCGCAACTTCAGAGCGAAGCAGAGCAGAGCAAAGCAGAGAAGAGCAGATCAAAGCAGAGCAGAGCAAAGCAGAGCAGAGTAGAGCAGAGCAGAGCAAAGCAGAGCAGAGCAAAGCAGAGCAGAATAGAGCAGAGCAGAGCAGAGCAAAGCAGAGTAGAGTAGAGTAGAGCAGAGCAGGGCAAAGCAGAGCAGGGCAAAGCAGAGCAGAGCAGAGGAGAGGAGAGCAAAGCAGAGCAAAGCAGAACAGAGTAGAGCAGAGCAGAACAAAGCAGAGCAGAGTAGAGCAGAGCAGAGCAGAGGAGAGCAGAGCAAAGCAGAGTAGAGCACAGCAGAGTAGAGCAGAGGAGAGCAGAGCAAAGCAAAGCAGAGCAGAGTAGAGTAGAGCAGAGCAGAGCAAAGCAGAGCAGAGCAGTTCCTCAAACTCTCTTGTTTCGGTTTCCAAAATATTCGGACGCGAAATCTGCGGTCCGCACAAATTCAAAATTAACTTGGTGGATTATTTATGTATTTATTTATTTAATTATGTTCTTATTTATTTATTTATTCATTAATTTGTTATTAGGTGATTATTGTGCGATTTTCGACAATTAGTTCAACTTAAAACCTGCCATAATGTATTTAATATTATTAAAGTGGGTATGCAGTTATTTACATATCAGTGTGATAATCAATGTATTTCGCTTTGAGCGTCGTTTAATATATCGCCGTCCCGTGTCAATCATTGTTGTCATTTTGTGTTCCTCCTCTCCTGCTAGAGCAAGGTCCGTTAAGACACGGTCAGATTTCCTCATTTACCGGACTTAAAGCCTCAGCTGGTCATGTCGCTATCTGCCCTTACCGGAAGCCATCCTACGAATTTATATCCACTACTTCCTGGTGAATATTGGCGCCCAAAACAAATCCTTCTGATATCCAAACCAACCAACCAACCAACCAACCGGCGCGTAAGGCTGATAACCTCGCCGCCATCTGTGAGCCGATTATGTAAAAAATGTGGGAGCCTCGACGTCTCACAACCGTATGGGCCTCCATAGTCTGTTACAGGGACAGCTTCACCTTTTTTTTTTACCTTTTACTAATTAACATTAGTCTGCCATTGGACACGACACAGCGCCTGTCCTCCCTACCACTTTCTCAGGAGATAACTGTTTTTCGATCACGCCCTTGCGTATGCTGTGGCAGAGATATTTAAACCGAGTTTTAAAGCAAGCTAGCGAAGTATATTTCGGATTATCTCTTCTGACCGTGTCTTGTTATTTCTCCTATTTATTCAGCTGTGAGCATAGTTATGAGATGTTAACAACTCATATTGAGAAGTCAAGAGCTTTCGAGAGAATTTCTGGTACATTCAATAGACTGAAAATGGCGATATTATTAGAATCGTTTCGGAATCGATATCGAAATATCGAACTCCCACAAACGAATTTTCATCTTTGCTATGACGACCCGTCATATTGGAATGTCGAGAGAACATTGATAAGATAATGTTGAAGTTCGTGTTTATTATAATCTTACGAACCATGTGAGGTAAATAGAAGATACAGTACAAAAATTAAAGAGACAGAAATAATCTATACTGACTTCAATCAAATGTTTTTACATCGAGTAATATAATTATTATTTGATGTGCGAGAATGCAGATTACCTTTGTAATAAAAATAATAACGCTATGCTGCAAATGTAAAATTCAACATAGTTAATATAGAAAAGAGATTCTAATAACTATTTACATAACATATAATACAATGGAGAATAATTCTTCTTATGAGCAACAGTCGTTCAGATAAACAAAAAAATTGCCTGTGTTTAATGGAAAAAGAAATTTCATTACCGAGTTCACTCGTTCCCACATTCTCGTTCTATACTGTGCCAGATGAATTCAATTTACACCCTCACAACCTATTCACTTATTGCAACATTTATCATCCCATCTACGTCAAGGTCTCCCGAATTGTTCCACCCCTTTACGTTTCCCGCTTATATTTTTTAAATATTCCTCAAGTCTCCCATGCAAACTACATGTCACATCCACTTAACCCTCTAAGATTTGATTGTTCTAACTATATTTAGCAAGGAAAAAAACTATAAAACTCCCAAACATGTAATTTCTATCCTCCGTCCCTCTTTATTTCCTGTGATTAAATATTCTCCAGAGGACACAGTTCTTATATGGCCTTATTTTGAAGCACTGCAGCACTTTGGGTACCAAATCAGCATTTGCTGTAGAATGGAGGAAAACCATGGAAAACCTTGATAGAGTTGGACGGTCGCAGGACCTTCCGGATGCAAACTAACTTCTATCCAATAGCCCGACATTAAATACGCGAACACTAACATTAGTCCATGTATCTGTGCTGTTGCATTATTTGAAAAAAAAAAAATTACATATTTGTTTCTACATATTTTTTATGTGCATACTTTGGATCAGCAGCAAACAGTTGTGCATAATATCTGAAGGGGGAAACCTACAAGCACACACATGCATATTGAAGCGTGTTTACCGAACCATTCTATAGTAACGGTCGCGGTGCGGACCTCACAGAAAACAGTCTCTCTACTGTTGAGGCTTGTTTACAGAGCCGTTGATTAGCAATGGGTATACACATCACAGTATCTTTATACACCTGAGGAATGATTTATGGCGTTAATTCACAAACATAATTCTACAATGTAAAATAAGAAAAAACGTATAGTTTTATTTGTTGCTTCTTAAAGACTTCTCGTTATCTCCTTACATCGCTCATACACTGAACGGTTTTATTTCTATCGAAACGTCCTTTCCGGGCTCCGATCTCGGGACCGATACGTAACCTTGAACGATGTGCCATGCTTAACTACAGAAGTAATTTGCAAGTTACCTCGAGCGAAACTTGTGTGAATAGTTTTCATTGTGTCTGTTCTTGCAGTTTCCAGCATCAGCCATGACAGTACATTATGTAACGACACAATGGTACAGTATTTAAGGCGCGAAATTGAATTCACCAGACTTCCCAGTTTGGTCCAAGGTTTCACAAAATGTTTTAGCAACTCCTATTTTCATTATAGTCCACAGAAATAATTGAACTATATATTCCAATTAAATACACATTTAAATCTTTTCTTTGTCATTTTTGCATGCCTAACTGATCTTAATGTTCGTTTATTGCAGATATTAACCTTTTGACCAAAAACTAATAGCATTGTAATACCATACTGCACACATAGAAAATAATTTTATATTCATTCGTTAAGTATTCACTTGCTTACTTACTTACTCGTGGAGCTGAGCCCTTCTTGAGGAGAAGCCAAATCTGCAGCTACTCAAGAATTTCCCAGCATTTTATGGAACCAAAGGTTCATTACCGTGTTCACAAGAGCCCTCCACTGGTCCCTATCCTGAGCCAGATCAATCCAATCCATATCATTTCATCCCATATCTCTAAGATCCATTTTAATATTGTCCAACCACCTACGCTTTGGTCTTCCCAGTGGTGGCTTTCCCACCAATATCCTATATGCATTGCTCTTCTCCCCCATTCGTGTTACATGCCCTGCCCACCTCATCCTCCTTGACTTGATCACTCTCATTATACTTGGTGAAGAGTACAAGTAATGAAGCTCGTCACTGGGGAAAAAATAAACCTGACGGCACCATAGCTCAAGCGATTAGTCGCTGGCTTTCCACCGCGGCGGCCCGGGTTCGATCCCGGGGGTCTGGTCAAGTGGGATTTGTGGTGGACAAAGTGGCGCTGGGGCAGGTTTTTCTCCGAGTACTTCGGTTTCCCTTGCCAATCTTCATTCCACCAATTGCTCCACAATCACCCTCACCTATCTGGGACTGGTACAATAGGCGAGAAGTGGCCGCTGTACAAGGGACTTACTCCCACCCCACTAGCAATAAAAAAATATAGAAAATATAAGGGATAGTATAGAAAGACTGAAGGTACATAGACTGGAATTAAACGTTTTTAACTTTAATGATATGTGTAGTGTTCCGTATTACCTGCAAGTATCCGCCGAAGCTAGTAAGTTTCTGTCCATTTGTTCTTTACAGATTGCAGTGGAAATTTCCTTCTGAGTTTCACCGCCATGACCTGGCACAGCGCATTGTCCAGCATTACACTCCACTTCACAAACTGAAAAGATTAACAAACATTGCTAGCGCCTTTGCAATTTACAGCACGATGAATGTGTCCTTCTCCCTCCTTGAAAGACGCTGTTTCTTTTCCTGCCCGCATTCGGAAAGTATTTAAATGTTTCTTTACACGAACTTCATAACTGAAAGCATAATGAAAAGTTGTGTCTCACCGGTTACAGAAACTATCAACACGAAGAATTTTGAAATAGATTTATACTCATTTTAGTTTATAACGGTCCATATTTCATGTGAAAGCTTTATCATTTTACAAAACTATAGGGTTATCGTCCAAAGCAGGCTTCTTAACACTGTCAAGTGCTAGTAACTTGACACAGGATTCGGGCTGGGAGTTGGATTTACTGTACACTTATAAATATAAATACACTTATAAACGTAATTAGAAATTACCGCTAATCTACACACTTATAACATTATTATATCGCACGTTGTCTCAGTCTGTTATAGTCGTTACCAGATGTTGCTTGGTTACGGTTCCCAATAATGGAGATTCTTCTGCTCTAGTGATTAGGTCGTTACCGGCTAGCTACCCTCACAACTAACTCATTGCCCCAGCTGTAGACTTTCAACTAGATTAAGTCAAGTCACGTTAAGTCAGTCAAGCCCCATCTGGGGCCCCAAACTAGATTTTTGTCAATTTCAGTTGCAGTTTTGTCGATGTGATGCGACCTCTCAGACGAGAGGACAGGTCTGGAAATTACTGCGGTTATAGTCGGTACTTTGCGTCATCCATATCTACAATTTTACATGTGGGCAATATATATAGTCAGTCAGTTGTCAAGAGTCCGTTTCCTAGTGGATACATACTGTGACATGACGCCTGAAAGCCTGAAGTGCGCAGTGAGAGAAGCACAACAGATGCGTCTGTTGCTGGACAACGGTTAGGTAAACATTGTTCCCACAGCAATGAATTACCGTAGCAACGGACATGCAGAATAACATAAGAACTGTAAGACATGGTGTTCTGTCTGCGGTTTGCACAGGGTCATGAAAGTCCACGCAATTGATTTGCAGGAAACATTAAAATGTGGTCAAGAGTCTCACGGGACTCGGACCCGAGAATGACTGCACTGGTGAGGGCCAGTAGCAATTATAAACAACAGACCTGTGCTATCGTCAGAGACAGCGCCCCACACCAACAAACCCGCAATTATCTAACAGTAACGAAAATATGTTCGTAAGCCCCAGATGGGTGCTTTATTTCGGTCGGTCGTAACATAAGACTCAGACTCAGGCAGTCAGACTTACTGAGTAGCAGAAGACTAGAGACCAAGAAGAAATACAATGAGAGATCCGTTATCAAGAAGGAGTTCAATGTGTGAACTGTTATCATCAAGTGCAATTGTTATACAGATGTCCAATAAATCCAATCATCAAATCTAAAATTACCATTATATTTATAGTTTTACATGTAACTCTACGTATGTATTTATGTATAATATATACAAGGCCTCTGTCAGTGTAGGCTTGGAAAAGCAGATCATACCCAAACACATGTAGTTCATGTTACAACGGCTGCTTAGTCACTTGAACGGTCGTACGCTTGACAGCCGCCAAGTTTAAGCCTCTTATGTTTTCTATTACGGGCTTCGCCTGTTCCGATGTCACGAACATTTGTATTTTCATGATTTTGTATGCTCTCTACTTGTTGCTTGCACAATTCCGTTATGTAGTTATAAATATACGGTACTTGGAAAGCCATGTGCAACTCGCGGACCCGTGTGCGTATAGTAAAACTTGTTTTGTACGCGCTGCAATTTCGAAAGGAATCCGCTGCAAATTCCCAGACGGGGCTACCATTTGTTTATAGGGAGTTAGTTTAAGGTAAGGGCTCAATCGCTCGCTTTTAATAGGGAATAGACTCTAATAAATACTCTGAAGGCCTTAGCTTTGATTATTTCTATATGCAGTCTGCATGTAACCCTCTTGTCGAAGATTACACTGAGATGTTTTACACGATTCATGAAAGGGATGGTCCGTCCGTTCAATGTGAGGTGAGACTTGCGAGGTCTAAATGTATGAGAAAAGTAGACGACCCAAGTCTTATCTTTATTGTTCTTAATGTGTTCACAGTGTTCACACAATGTCTCAATCAAATTGAGACCGCGCTGCACCTTTCTGAGAACATAACCCTCTCTGCGATCCGTGGAATAAATAGAAGTGCCAAAGTAAAAGAGGGTCAGATAAACACGTGGGGGTTGGCGTACAGTGTTGGGGACAGGGAAGAACCTTGAGGCACCCTGGCTTGTATTTCTTTAGGCATGGATATTTCACCTTCAAAACAGACTGTGAGCTTTTGCTCGGATAGAAAATAGCTAAAAGCTTAATTAAATTAGTCGAAAATTTTAATTTATATAAATTTTATAACAAGCCAGGGTGCCATGTTGTATCAAACGATTTTTCGGTATCCAAGAACACCGCCGCCGTAGACATGTTATTGTTTAAATTTGAGGTCACATGGTCCGTAAACCTCATATGCACATACATTGCAATGTTGTGCTATGACGTCCAGTTGGTCCTCATTATACAGCCTCGATACGGAATGAAAATAAAACACCAACAGTTCTGTTATTGCGTGCGTATCCGTTGCCGTGGAAACGTTTCTACCCAGACACGAGAAATATTGGTTGGTTCAGCTCAAGTTTTGGCTTTATACTAGTCTCACCTCAGTCTGTTTAGCGACGGGCTACTGGCTGGAAGGAACAGGTTCGATTTCCGTCAGGGGCAAAGAATTTTTCTTTTCTCTATAACGTTCAAACCGGCTCTTGATCCCACTCAGCGTCCGATCCAATGGTAACGGGGTTCTTTCCTGGGTTAAAGCGACCGGATCGTGAAGCTGATCACTCACCTCCAACTAATGCCGAGGTTAAGAATGGTGGAGTTATACCTTCATTCCCCATAAGTCTTTATATCGTGGTGCTAAATTAAGCACAAGGACAGCTTTATTTGTTCCTTTTACTGGTTTCTTGAACATAATAAGGATTAAGGATCTCGTATCCGGATTATTATAAATCGTGTTTTTGTTGGATATTATTTAAAGAAAAATGTTGCAGTTATATTTTCAAGGCAACGAGTAATGTGTATTGTTAAGAAGTTAACGGTTTAACTGTCCAAAGATGGCGGTCCATATTTCACCCACTGATCATCATATGCGTCAAACAAATCTAGGAAAAAAGAAAAGCATAAATGCTTCTAAGCAAGACATATCGGACGGAGAACACACACGCGGAAGAACGTTACTTTATGTGTAGAGGCTCAAATTTGAGATTGGAAATTTAAGCCATCACCTAAGTGTCTGGAGACTTGCGAAAAGTGTTTTGCAGTGAAAGAGCAAAGATGTCAACACCTGGGCAGGAACTAGGCTAAGAATGTGATGATCAGCATTTATGCCTAACCGCACTAGCAAGAAGCTTGCCTCACTAGGCCACGGGAGTATCGTAAGATTACCGTATGAACAGCGATGAGACGCCATGGGCCCGCCCACAACCACCAATAATAACCAATTAGAATATTACTTTGAGAATTGAGGACACTGAGGAGGAGTTAACTACCCTCTGTCGTCAACAGCTGAATTAGCAAATTAAAACTATAAATTACTGAATTTCGAGGGACTTGGGATTCTGATCTAACACAGAATATTGAGTTGTCAGCCGAAGGCACTCTTCAACATGGGCCTTACGAACGGAGGCAGTTGGCCTGCATCTTGTACTACAAGTAAGTTTCTTTACGCATAACAGCCATGTGGTTTAATAGTATTGTTGATAACAGTGTTGTTGAGTGATTTTAATGTGCAACTCCAGTGTACCCGGCGAGCCCTTAGGGGAGGATAGTAGAATCATGTAAAATGTAATTGCCTAGGATGTTAGTCAGGCAATAAGGGTTTTATAGTGTATGTGGCAAGGTTATGGTTAGCGTGTAGGATAAATATAGTATGTGGGTTTCATTATGTATAACTAAGGGTAGATTATGTTAAGAGTGAACTTTACGAAGGATAGTG